CGGGCTAAATTGAAGATCAAGAAGCGCAAGACCAAACGAGCACAAAGGAAACGCAAGGCGAAGACTAAGGAATCATGTTGTTGGTGTAAGCCTTGTACAAAGAAGAGACGAACACGAAGGAAGGAGGCTAATAGACGTGGGTTGCGATGGGTTGACAAAGGATGGTGGATACCGGCCGAGGGTTGTGCTAGGTTGGATGGTTGGGACCCATGGCCCGAACCAACGGTGGCGATCGCCGACGAGAAGGGCGACGGCGATCGGCTCATGGGCGAATGACGCGCATCGGCCCATGATGCGCGCGGTTGGACGGAACGAGATGATGAACGGGGGTGCACGACCGAAGGTAGAGCCGCAGGGCCAAGCGACATGCGGAGGGTGTCGGAGGTTGATTGGGAAGCGTTGGCGTTCGGGGGTGTAACGCCGGAGCGCGGTTGGCGCGCGGGTGAGCAGTTCGCGGACGGGGGAGTTGCGTGCGATGCAGCGGGCGCACGGGGATGCGCAGGAGGCAATTGGAGCCCGCGGGCGAGGGAGACGACGCGCAGAGCAGCGGACGCGGTAGGATGCGCCGTAGGCGATTGGGGCACGGACGGTAGCCGGCACGCGAAGGGCCTGGACAGCGACGAAGGGCCGCGCGCATTGGCGCGCGAGTGGAGTGCGGACGCGGGCGGAGACCTAATCCGTCCGGTCGTAGGAGAAGGCATGGCAGACGCACACGCGCGAGAAGCAGGTCGCACGGGCGAAGGGCGCGCGAAGGGTGACGCGTGGGGTACGAGCGCGCGAAGCCTAATGGCCAAAGGATTAGGCAAGACGGGGTCAGCGCGCGATGGCGTGCGAGACACGTCGCGCGAGTCCGCGCGCGACGAGGATTAGGAAACCCCGAAGGGCGGCGTGGACGCGTGATACATATGAGGCGGCCGAATGTTTGGGCATGAGTTTGGATTTGTTTGGAGTGCAAGCCAAGCAAAATCAAGATCTAGTCAATTTAGGACTTTAGATATTTAGTTTCCTTCTTGCACAATAATATCTAGATTGTATAGGATATTTAATATTTAATTGCTTTAATTAGTTTCCTAGGTAGATTAGAATTAGTCATAGTTAGGATCTATAAATAGGGATCATCCCCCATTGTTTTAGAGGAGTCTTGGAATGGAAAAGAAAAGAACGTTTGTTCGAAACCGTGTGTTGAGAGTCGTGAGATTCGATCATACAAATCGAATTGGTGAGGTTAAGACCCAAGCCAATTCAACGATTTAGAGAGGCTAAGACCCGATCTATTTCGCGAGTGAAACGAGGCTAATAACCAAGTGAACTCAAGTATCGTGAGAGAGTTAGACTAATAACCGAGTCGATCACACCTATCGTCGAGAGCAAGGCCGTGGCGAAGCCGTGATCGAGACAAGTCGAGGACACGAACATCCGATCCTTCATCACAGCGTCCCAGCGCACGACAGCGCGCACGCCAGCGCCCGCACAGCGCCCCAGCGCACGACAGCGCGCATGCACAGCGCCCAGCGCGCACG